CGTCCCCGATCTCCGTCACGGGGGAATTTCTATCCCCATCCCCGTTCCCCGCGGATCCCCGTTCCCCGCGGGGATCCCCATAGATCCTACATTTATTCATTAATATTTTATTTTTTTAAAATGTTTATATTTTCTATAAAAATAAAAAGCACAAAGAATTCACATATTTATTATGTTATTAAAAAATACTAGTATTTGACATTTCTCTCTCTTAATAAATACATGAATATTTATTTATTTATTTTTATAAATAAACATAAAGGAAATGACTAAAAAACCTAATCTAAAATATATATATTAAATTAACTATATTAAAATAATAGGCGGGGCGGGGTCCCCGCGGGGCGGGGGTGTATTCCCCGTCCCCGTCCCCGAAATGCTCTTGGGGGAATTTTTCTCCCCATCCCCGCCCCCACGGGGGAAAATTCCCCATCTCTGGGGCCCCGAACGGGGCGTTCCCCGCGGGGATCCCCATTAACAGGTCCAAACTGACATCCCTATCATGATCATAAAATCTAAAAATATAGCATAAAACTAACATGTTCATGCACACATCAAGTCACCCTGTTGTTTCAAGAATACCATGACATCACATCTGCTTGCTAACCTCACTCCACCTTCAATTTATTTTCATAACCGAAAAATAACTGATACTAAGAGAAACCCATCTCGGTAATTCACTTCATTAACTTTCCTAACATATTTTTTCTAACTTCTCCAACTAACTTAACAATCCAACTAAACAGTCCAAACAAACCCCTAACTAACTATAACCAACTTTCCATTTTTCCCAATAACCTAACAAACCTCCTAACCGCTTCTAACAGAATTTTAAACATTCCCTAAACCGTTTTCTAAAGCAGCCATGTACATAAAAACTCTAACTGCAAATCCAGAACAGAATTCCTAACTGCATCTTAACTTCCTAACAGAATTTTTGATAACTACCTCCTAACCAACAAACTTCCAGCATAAGAATACATATATAAGAGATTGACAGAATAGGGAGATAGGATTTCAACACAGAAAAAAGAAATTTTTACCTCTCAATCATCTCATTCTGGAACTTGCAGAAGAATCACATCCAAAAAACTACAGAAATTTTATCTTCTTCTCTCATCTTCACCTTCATCTTCATCTTCCGAAACTCCACGGTAAATTCTCTCATATCCATCTCTGTAACCAAACTGCAATACTTGAACCATCATTATCATCACCCTTGCACCTTCAAACTTCGTAAGAACGACACCTATACCTTCACTCTGCATCATCTTCTTGAATTCAAAAAAACTGCAAATCAGAACATCAACAATCATCAACACCCGATATCTTTATCAATTAACCTCTATCATCCTTTTACCACAAACCCATACCAGCCAACAACAACCATGGCTCCAACAAAGGCAGAGAAGAAGCCAACTGAGAAGAAACCTGTAGCAGAGAAATCCCCTGCCAAGAAGAAGCCTGAGGCCGAGAAGAAGATCTCGAATAGAAGAAGAAGCAAGAATGAGGAGAAGAAAAGAGATCATTACCTGAAGGAATCGCGGCCGGGATCGGGGTTTGCCGCCGTCAAAGGCGATTACCGGCGCGGCGGAGACCATCGGAAAAGGTGGATCGGAGAAGAAGAGAAGACGGCACACACGGAAGCACAGAGAGATGGCGGCGAAGTCAAGGAAGATGAGAGCGGGAGTGGGTCGCTGTCGTGGTTTCAAGAGCGCAGACGGAGGCTCTGTGACTAGAAGTCAGAGATGGTGAGAGTAGCCGCGTTGTTTGATCTCGTGAGGGAGATGAAGAGACAAATAGCTTTCTAACCCTAAAACCCTTTTCCAATTTCATATGTTTATTCCATTTAGTTTAATTGTTTCATTGTTTTATATTTGTTATTGCAAATTAATAATAATGCTGGTAATAATTTGTTGAAATAAATAAAATGCTAAAAAATCTGGTGATGGGGCTATTGGATTGGGCCGAACCCCATGCTCGCTTCAGGCCCGTTGTCATTTGTGTTTTTTCAGCCTGGAGATTATTTAGTAAAAATGGCTTTTCATGGATGTTTCTTGTTGGGCCTTGGACAAATTGCTGAACCACACCCCCTGAATTTAACTTGTACCTCATGACTCTTCTAATTTTTCTTTTTTTATTATTTTAGTTTTCTTCTAGTTTAATTTTCTCTCTCAATTGATAATAAAATGATACAAAACAATAGAATGTTTTAGATTTCTTTAGAATTTCTTTTTAGAATTTCGATTAGAATCTTTTCTATTTTATTTTTCATATTTGGTAATCATTTTTATTGACTTTTTCTAGTCAAGATTTTTATGATAGCATTGATATAACTCTTGCAATGTGGAATGCTCGGGGTTAATTCTTCAATCACTCGCTCAAGGAAACTTTGATAGAATTCTCTTACCGCTTGCACAATTTCGAAGAGGCAACGAACCTTCTCCGTTCGGTATCGTCACAAATCTATTTTATTCTTCATTTTCGTACTTTATCGCAAATCATATGCATGCTAACATTAGGTAGAATTCCCTCAAAATTCTAACTTTAGGTTTAACAACGCACGATAACATCAGGTTTAGAAATAGGCTAATTCCCCTTTAACTTTTCTTTCCCTTTCGCATACGCATCTAAAACTAAAACTTCTTTTCTTTCAAAATTCAAAACACTTTAAAAATTACTGCTGAGAATCATGCTTTTGCTTAGTACGAGAAATGATAAGCGGGTCTCTTCTCGACCTTATCGTTCTTCATCTCAAGCATATGTGTGGTTCAATTCTCAAAGACTCCTTTCATAGCTAAGTAGAAAAATGGCTAATATCTCTCTCTTGAGGTCAATCAGTCATTATCTGCAACAAAATATAAACCAATTCAAATCTTTTGTGCGCTCGAGCACCTTTCTTAAAAAACCCTTTTCAGGTAAGGACACGATTAATTTACTTCTGTGCCAACGTATAAGTCTCCAAAGGTCGAGCTGCGGCAGAAGGCAGAATTAACTTCGTCCACACAAAAACATCTACAACAAAATATAAACCAATTCAAATCTTTTGTGCGCTCGAGCACCATTCTTAAAAACCCTTTTCAGGTAAGGACACGATTAATTTATTTCTGTGCCAACGCATAAGTCTCCAAAGGTCGAGCTGCGGCAGAAGGCGGAATTAACTTCGTCCATAAAACAACACAAACAAACAAAAACATATAAGCCGAACTACGGTAGCTCTGATTCCTCAAAAAGGATACGTAGGCATTGGGGTAGGGCCCAAGCGAGCACAATTTTATTTTCCCTACATTCTTTTCCCTTTTCTTTTGCATGCATTCTTCCTCCTGTAGTATAGTAGACAGTAAGCATAGATTAAACACACCCATAAGATAGATAGCAAGAGTGGATATCGTAGAGTACTACGGGCGTGTGGGGTGCTAATACCTTCCCCTCGCGTAACAGACTCCCTTACCCGATCTCTCGGTCGCAAGACCGTGACTTCTCCCTTCTCAGGTTTTCTCGATGTTTATCTTTCCCTACATGTGGAATAAAAGACGTTCGATGGCGACTTCATTGTTTGATGATTTTCAGCCGGTTGTTTCACTTGTGATATACTGTTGATTGAGAAGCTTATAATGCATGTTAATTATGAGAAATCTAACCCTTACTTTAATGATTTCAGATTAAAGTTAGCAGCTCAGAAGTTGGTGAGGATGGCTCTAGAGCTATGTTACTTTAAGTCCGCGTGTCAGTGTCATGCTCTGATAGGTTGTAACATTGGGGGAAACGTTTGAATGATGAGTTTTATTTTATACTCTATTATGTAATTTATGTTGGGAATACTTATGAAGTAAAGTTATTCCGGTTTTGAGACATTTCCGATGTGTAGAACATGATATTGATTTGAATAATTATCTTAATAATTCCTTCAGTAAAGCATGATAACTGTAGATTTGAGGTTTTTATATTTATCCTGAATTGTGACATCCCTGTTTTCCATGTTACTCTGATTTAATTAATATATTCGCGGGTTATTTAGAAGGGGTGTTATATTGTGCCTCTATTAATTGGCAATTAGTGAAGAGGGTTGAAGTCCTGTTGGTACCAGATGCATATGCACAGTTGTGTCGCATTCGAATTGCATTTTTAATCGCTAATGATAATTGTGAATGTTTATTGATTGTTGTGTGTTGTTGAGAAGAGGTGAAATTCATAATGTTCTTGTCTAATATATTAATTATCATAATCTTATTTATATTATTCGATATCTCACCCTTTTATTTGTTTCGTCGTTGCCTTTATACTGGTAACGTGCAGGTATCGAGGAGTAGAAACTTAGTAGCTTGTTGGTGTCTTCGCTTTGATACGTAGCACTCGAGGGGATGAACAGTTATTTGATTTTATGATGTTTTCAATTTAATTCAAGTTGTTGTTTTAAGAAGTTGTTTTCTTTGAATTAAGTTGTTTAAAAGATGTTATGTTTCTTTTGAAGTTTTAAAGTTGTGAATTCGCTGCGTATGGAATCAAGTTGAAATATTTTTTAAGACTGATTAATTGTTATAAGTTCTTTGGATTAATATGTGTTTTGTATCTATTATGATAGGTTTTTATGTTGTTGGTTTTTGAAATGAGAATGTAATGCCTCATGTTTGCGGAAATTTTGACACTCTGATTTTAATATAATTGTGGAGTAGATTTGGGGTGTTACACCATACATAAAACCATAATGATGTTATATATCTCAGAATTACATAAAGCCAAAACGCATAGACTTTTGTCTCAAATACAACAAAGACACACCATACATAGACCAACAAAGCCAAAAGGCATCAAATACAACATAACAAGATGCTTAATTTCTACACATCCATAGGTTGTGATGGATTAATTATTTCTCCTTTGAGGTTTTTGCATTTAAGGACCTTTGTCCTGTCACTTCTCCTCAACTCCAATTTTCTTGCAACTTTTGGTTTGTTTGTGTTCTTCTTCAGTAAAATATAGAATATTATAGGTGCAACACATCAACAGAATAATTCTAAATCAACATCAAATGGTATAATAAACTCAACTGGTTTAAGAACTCTAGGAGTAGTAGAAACTGGTGTAGTAGGCACATCATCAAATGTTGGAACAGGTTTAGTCAAAATATAGTCAGGTACATAAAGTGGTATACCAGAGTCAGCTTGTGAAGATGTAACATATGCACTCTGAGTTGATGTAACATGTTCACTATGAACTGATGTACTTGCTGGAATTTGTGCAGATGTAACAAGTCTAATTTCAGCAAGATTTGGTTGAAGTTGAGTTTCCTCAAATGCTACTGCAAGATATGCAACAAGCATTTCAAACTCAGGGTCAACATCAGTTTGAGTTTGATTAGGTTGAGGTTGTTCTTGTGTTGTAGTTTGAGCTTCAGTAGGTTGAGTTTGTTCTTGTGTTGCACTTTGAGCTTCAATAGATTGAGGTTGTTCTTAAGCTCATCTAAGCAAAAATAAAAGTTGTCAAACCTTGGTTGTATTGTTGGTCCAACCCTTGCCAGATTAATTTTACAAGTGTTTCCATAATTTACTCTCCTTAATTCTACAGAGTATCTCCACAAAAGTTTGTATTGTTTCACTGCATCACATTCAATCAAAGATTTTTCAATTTGTTTGTCTTTCTATGCCCTATTCATAGTTATACCGACAAAAAAGTTACTCCTAATCTCAAAGACAATATCACGAATCTTAACACCATCAGAAGATGTCATCCTAGCCGCCACAGTCTTAACAACCCACTTGGAATTGACATAACTATTATTCAATACCCTACCACATGTGTGTGTTCCAACCCATTTCTTCATTCTATACGTGTGCTTATTCCCAACTTTACTTACAAGTGAAAAAAACCCACATTTGCCCTTGCAAATTACCCTTACTCTAACTTTATTATTTTTCACATACTTTATCTCTCTCCCATTTAATACTGACCATTCAATAATTGCTTCTTTAAATTCATCAAGTTATACAAACTCCAATCCCACTTTGAATTTGTAATTCTTGTCCAAATCCTTCCTCTTAAACCTTAGATATTTTGGTTTCTTCTCTCCATCACAAGCATTAGAGTCACTACTACCAAGCTTGTCACTAACATAGTTGATGTCCATCTCATTATCCATACAACTAGATGACCATACATTATCAACACCAATTTGTAATTTCGTTGGAGTATGCTTGTGCTTCCTTGCTGCAACTTTCATCCTACCTTTTTTGCCCCTTTCTTCAACTTGATTTTCAATAACACCAAAGCAATCGTCCAACCCAAGATCCCTCTCATCCTATCATCAAATGATAAACCATCAAACTTCAAAGTCATCATCCTCATTGTCCCCACTATCCTCATTTTCATCACATACTTCAACTTGTTCAACACCACCAACATTACCTTCTTAAACTTGTTTAACACCACCAATATTACCTACTTTAACATGTTCAACACCAATAACATTACCTACTTCAACATGTTCAACACCACCAACATCATTACCTACTTCATCTTGTTCAACACCTAAAACATCATCTTCTTGAACATCACCTACATCAGCTTCTTGTGCATTGCATTTACCTTTATGCTCAACATATATGTGCACTACACATTTCATTTCCATGACATATTGATATACCTTATCAACATCACTATCACTAATCATTCTACTATACCTATCAAGATCATTATTATACCACCATAACCAATATTCTGAATGCTCAAGCTCGATTATCTCTTTCACAATACATGTTGCTTTAAATAAGTTCCACCTATACAGATCTATTTCTACTGCATGCTCATACCCCCTGTGTAATATATTATACAGTCCCTATCAAATCTACTCCTGTAATGAAAAATCAAACTGAACTCCATCACTTGTAAGTTTCAAGAAGACACAATGAACATAACTAACTCACCGATAAAAGGAAGAAAAAAGATACCATATATGAGATTGAATTTCACAAATGCAATTGTGTTCCACAAAAGTGATTGCATTACCTAGTCATAAAATCAAGTATTTTACCATCTTCGTTCGTTCATCTCCTTCCTCCCACAACTAAAGCTTTTTTTTCTTTCTAATAACAAAACCTTCATTTAAAGAGAAAGCTAATTTCTTAACACTTTGGTATTTTTGATGGGAAATTAATAGATAGCCACATATGTATGATGTTAAATAAAAAACAAATATAAATCATTTTCATGTGTGCGTTGTTACCCAAATCAATTTTTGTTAACAGAAATCTAATCTTAAGGATTAACACAACAAAAATAGGGATATAAGAACTCACGAAAAAATATATTCACTAAAATCAAAAACTAGTTAATTTACCTTGACCAAAAGATTGTTTAAGCATCTTATAAAAAAAAAACTATTTAAGCATATATTTAATTATTGAAAATATTTGTATGAAACACTTTTTATTCAAGCTCATAAAAAAAAAATACTACTATTCTATGATCAATTTCCAATGACAGTGTAAAATCGCCTCTTTGAAGATTTGTGCTGTACGAACCCAAAAGCTTCAGTGAAGTTCAATGGAAGAAGAGAGAAGAGAGGTTTGTGTAAACGGTGAAGAAAATGAAGCAGAGATTGTTAAAGATGAAGACAAACTCGCTTTGCAATTCATGGATTCACTTCATAGCTATCTATCCCTCACTGATTCTCTCTCTTCCACGCTTCGACAGGTAAAAAAATATAAACTTTAACCTAATCAATTCAAATTCACTTATCATCCTCAGAATAAAACCCTTTCCATAAATTTCTTGTATTTCACTCATTTGATTCTGTTATTACTTCAAGGATCATGATTTATAGTACTTTCTTCAAATCTATACGTTGGGTTGATATGAATTATCGAAACTGTTTTCTGATTTGTTGGTTATTGTGTGTTGGTCATTTCAAAATTGGGGATTTTCATTGTTAATGTTGAGAGGAGAGATTGTGAAAGTTTACAGTATATGTAAGGATATTTTTTTTTTTTTGGATGAATAGCTCAAAAGATAGAAAAAAGTTAAATTATTTTTATATAGGTAATAAGTTGTTTTCATAAGCTATTCCGGAGAGCTTATAGGAATAAGCTGAAAACAAGTTACAGATATATCATAAGTTATATCATAAGTTGATTTTATAAGCTATTTCAAATAGTATCACAAGTGCTCGGAATAGTAGATAAGACAATTTAAATATTCCCTTACTTTGGAGATGACCCTGCAAAGTTGGGATTTTTTTTACAATTTTTGTTTCTTTGATAAGGAGACTTAGGTGGTTTGAGCATGATGAAGATCATGTGGTAAGGAGAGTAGATCAGATGGAGATGAGTCAAACAGCTAGAGGTAGAAGAATACCTAGAAAAACCGTAAGAGAAGTTATTAAGAAAGATTTTGAGATTAACGATTTGGATAGAAGAATGGTTCTAGATAGAATATTATGGCGGGAGTTGATCCATATAGTAGACCCCACTCGGGATAAGGCTTGGTTGTTGGTTTTGTTTCATTGATTAGTATGTTTTCTCTTTTGGTAATTGATTAGTATCATTCGCAGGGATGGCTGGAGTTAGCAAGTGCTAGACATTCTATGGGTGCTTCACGCGTTAATAGTTCATTATTGGACCTGAAATTTCATCCAGCTGCTACAACATTGAAGATAACCGGAAATGATGGTAAGTTTTGTGTTTTATAGTGAGAGACATGGTTGTTTGCAGCAGCTTGAACCTACTCGTATCCTCTTGGAAAACCTTGCCTGGTGTGCCGGCTGACATGCTTTCACTTGCTTCTTTATGATGTCTTTTTGTAACATGTACTTGATGTTAATAAGACGGAACCTCTGTTTTAATATATGAATCATTACAGTTGATTCAATAGGTGAACAACCACAATTCACGTTGCAGAAATGGGTATCTTCTGAACATGAAAGTACTCAATTAGAAGACAAGAATGAGCAGCCACAACACATTGATTTGAAATCATCTGGTACGGTTTTCTTCTCCCTGCATACCAAATAGACGATATGTTTTTCCCGTCGACTGTTGGTGGTGATAGTCATAGAGTAAAGAGGTGAACCGGGGAACCTATTTACTGAACATAATTCAGAATTTTTTTTTAAAACTTTAGCATTATGTAACTTCAACTTGATATTAGGGTTAATCCTGAAATGAAACATCAACTTGATATTAGGGTTAATGCTGAAATGAAACATCAACTTGATATTAGGGTTAATCCTGAAATGAAACATCAACTACACATATTAGAACAAACTCTTACTTCATTTGTAATTTGTAATCTTAATCTACAACTATATGCTATTAGTAGTATGTTTTCTGTTTCTCATTTTCTTGTATAATTGGCTTTGCAAATTACTGAGGCGACCATTATAAAGAACTTAACGGGACTTGCAGATAATGATGAAGTAAGTATTTGAATTTTTTATCAATTTCTTGTTATTTTAGATTCTCTTAACAAAGTATTAGCATATTAAAACAAGAATTGCAAGTATAATTGGGTTGAATTTCTAATATCTTTGATCCCATGGACTTACCGGGTGAATAAATTATAGATTTAGATAGTTCTGTTATTGACATAAGTATCTGAACTGTTAGTTGAATTACTGTTTAAATATTGCTTGTGGTTTTCATAGGTTCAAAAGGAGCGACACAAGTCCTTATCAGTTTTCGGAGTTTTGATTTCCCCAAAGCTTCGGGCCTCCCAGCTGTCATTTGAGAAAGGTGGATAACAAAACTCTAGATCTTAAATCTCCTTACTTTGTCTATGCGGTTATAGTCATCTGTTTATATTTTATACGTGACAGCAAGAGTAACAAATTCTGTGCATTGAAATTCTTTTCAGCACTAGAGACGCTTGTTGAAATAGCAAATATGCGATCATCATTGTTACACTCTTTTCACCAACTTCACCAAGAGGTGGAAGATACCAAAGAATGAAAAAGTAGCAATTCTTCAGGTATAGATAACCTCAACTCTCCTTATTTCATCTGTCTTCTACTCCTATTTTGGTTGCACATACATAGAATTGTGTCGAAGATTTCTTTCTTTCAATTGCATCTGCATATCAAGACTATGGTGTTTTATCTGTTTATTGCGCTGTGTATTATTTAATTAACGTTGTGAGGAACTCACGAGGAAAATGAGTATTTTTTAACACAATGGTAATTTCTTTCTTATACAGGCTACAAGAGTGACATCACATATGAACAATCTGATAGTATCGAAGACTGAGCATTTGCAAGATTTCTATTTTCAAATTATTTATCAGAAGACCAAATTAAAAGTTCCTCATAACGCATATTACATGTTGTACCCGTTGGAGCTTTTGATGAGAATATACATTAGGTTTGAACCATTTTTTGTAGAATGCCATAATGACAAGGAAACACAGATGTGAAATAATTTTTATGTTCTCAAAATGGGTGCAACACAAACTAGGGATACCAGAGCATAATTTTTCCACAATGTGTGCCATCAATCTTTTCTAACTTTCTTTCTTTATTGATATACAATAAAGCTCTGCAAGTTTGTTCCTTCCACAGTTTTTGATATATCAAAATAAAATAAAATAAAAGACCTTTGCATGTGTTTGTAATTAAACTTAGTATTACATTCACACCATGTCATTTAAATATATATCAAAATAAAATAAAAATAAAAGACCTTTGCATGTGTTTGTAATTAAACTTAGTATTACATTTCACACCATGTCATTTAAATTTCTCTCTTATCTCCCTCCCATACACTCGTCCTTACATTGCCCTTCCCAAAAAAAAATCAGAAAAGCTCTCTTTAAAATAATACATTCGGTCATACCATACAATATTACTGTCTAGCATTTTTTTCTAGCTATACACAAAAAAATAGGCTATCACAAACAATCAAGGAAATGGAAACAACAGAAGAAAAAACCAGCAAAACATTCTGTATAGCTAGAATGCACTCCATTTATCCGAGCCTTTCTTTGGAGATTGATTCTCTGAAGAGACCTTAAATGGGCCAGAAGAGCCGAATGGATCAGTGTCATCGAAAGAGAATGGAGCACTGTAGCCTAAGTCCTTGCTGCTACTAATTGAGTCGAACCTTGCATGTCCCTGACCACCACCAAAACCGAAATCTTTGCTGCTACTCATGGAATCAAACCTTGTGAGTGTCTCAGGATTGTAACCAAAATCTTTGCTGCCACTCATGGAATCAAACCTTGAAAATTTATCGGGATTATAGCCAAAATCTTTGCTGCCACTCATGGAATCAAACCTTGAAAATTTATCGGGATTATAGCCAAAATCCTTGCTGCTACTAATGGAATCAAACCTTGAAAATTTTTCGTGACTGTTGCCAAAATTGTTTCCAAAATCCCTGCTGCTGCTAATGGAATCAAATCGCGTAAATCTTTCTGCTTGTGGAGAATTTCCACTTTCATGCATGCTAAAGGAGGAATCGAACATTGACCTGTCAAAGTGATCCCCTGCCTCGCTGTACCTTGGAGAGTTTCCAAACTTGGAAAATGGAGTTCCAGGCACTGAATCGTCAAAAGCAAATGGGCTTTTTGCCTTGGAAGCTCCATCTGTAAATGTAGTTCCTGTTCTAACCGGGTTTAAGCCAAAATCACCAGATTGAAAGGAATCTCCCTGCTTCTCCAAGTCAGAGTCCTACAAAACCAAACATAACAATTCTAGCAGCTTTATCTCAATTACTTTTAAGCGTAAGCACTATGATGTGGCAGGTTTATGTGCCTATAAATCAAACCAACTTGATTTTGAAATTAGAATACCCTCTTCATCGGGAGTTATGCTAAAATCCATTGAAAAAATAAGAAGGAAAAGAAATTGTCCATTGCTTCTTATATTAATTTCAATGTAAAAATTTCTAAGATCAATTTCCATACAACTTCTCTCTCAATAAGTCTAACTACAACTAATTAGGTTGACACCAAGATTAAGAGAAAATCAATAAATTAAAAGCTGAGTATAGCACACAATACCTTGGGGTTAAAACCCCACACCGAGTCCACGTCATCATTATTGTCAAATGCACCCCAGGTTGATTCGTCAAAACTTCTGTTACCATAGATTAACAACATTGCAATTACTAAATGCACCACATTCAAAGCCATGAATTGCAGAAACAGAAAGAAAAATGAAGAAAAAAAAGGATGACGAGCTATAAACCAACACCTTCGTGACAGAAAAAACAGAACAAAGTACCTGTGTGTTTCTGCATCTGCTTCGGAACTTTTTGCAAAAGGAGAAGTTGAAAATTCTTTTGAAGGGCTCTCCACTGTATTCCTTACAAATGGGCTTTCGCGAGGACTTCTTGCCAAATCATCTTCACTGTGTGCATAAGAAGATTCCTCCTCAACTGTATAATCACCATTAGTGAAATTTTCTTGCCTCCCATTTGCATTCACAGGCGAATCATGAACTGGGTTATCGTCAAAGGAATTTTGTTCTCCGGGAATGAATGAAGGTTTTGGCTCTGAAGATGCGCTTTTCATATCAAAAGTGAGATCATTGGCAAATCCTGGAAGTAGAAAAAGTAATTAATAAAACAAGTTATTTCAAGCAAATTATGGCATATCGAAAAGTACATATTGCATACCTTCATCTTCAAACTTATCCCAATCTTCGTCCCAAACAGCTGCCCCCTCTGGATTTCCAGGTTGCCAACCTTGTAATTCATTTGATAACCACACAGCCACATTAAAATTGGAAATACAGAAAAGTGCATTCACTTGTTGCAATATGGTGCAGTAAAAAGTTGACTCATCTATGAAATAGCCATTTTTAGACTGCCTTATCAGCCTTGCAAGAGAAAGATTTGAGTTTTATATTGGATTGGATCTAGCTGATCCTTATAAAATTGACTTGTAAAGAGGTGCCATTATTTAGAAAGTCATTTAGGCCTTATCTATTTTCAACGTGGGAGTTGGGTTTTTCCTCAACACACCCCTCATGCCTAACATTATTGGGCTAGGTATGCAGATCATAAGGTAGGTGGGTCCGTGTTGGTAGGCTCTGATATCATTTTAGGTTTTGTATTTTGTGAGACTAGAGGTATGTTTGAATGAGTTTTGTGTTTTAGCTATCAAAATCTATTTTATAAATCAATTTTAAAATTGTTATGAAGAAAAAAAAATAAAACATGTTTAGTAATCTTATTTTTGAAAATTGATTAAGAGATGAAAAAAAGAAGAAAAAAAATACTTGTTTGATAGAGACTCATTTGCCTTTATAAAGTTGCACAATTTATACAACTTTGTCATTAAAGAAAAATCGTACCATTTTTTTTTGTTTTTTTCTCTTCTCTTCCCAATTTTCAAAAGTAAAAACTAAAACATTTAAAATTTATTTTAATTATTTAATTTTCAAAACTTATAAATAGAAGATAGTTTTTAAAAACAATTTTTTTAATTCAAATTTTAAAAACTAAAAAACCGTTTTACAAAACTAAATCAAACAAGCCCTAGGTCGCTAGGGTTTTTCCCAATAGTATCCATAACACAATTGTAAGAAAATACCAAACATGGGAATCAAAACCAAGAATCGCATATAGCAAAAGGAAATAAGTCAAAATAAATACAAATTTGTGTGGTGATTCTTTAAGGACCAATACAGAGCAGAAAAGTGTACAAAAAGAAGTCGTATCAAGGCAAATCAGATTAAAATTACCATCAGGAAGCTGAACCATTGCAATTGACTTCACATCTATCCCATGTTTCTTGCACCGTTCTGCAAGAGCCCCAAATAACTGCTCAAGATCTGATTGTATGCGATCGGCACGAACCTATGAAATTAACTGAAAATCAGGAACAGAGTAATAGACAGGTTTTCACAGAAATCCTAGTCTTAAATCAAGAATATAAGTTGACCTGAAGAATGCCATCTGCACTGCCTCCTTGTTCCATTTTGACGATGGCTTGCTGCAACTCTGTTTTCCTTTCCTAAGTATGCATCAAATAATGGTTAAATGATGCACGGAAATGTTTCAAGATAGACATATATCCTCCTAACCTTAACTATTACAATGAGTTACTTGTATGCTATGCAAACATATAGCATACAAAATACTCTCAACTCTAACAAAAAGCCTATCTATCATCAAAAAATATAGTATGTCTAATTCTAACTACCTGTATATCACGAAGTTTAGCTTCTTCTATAGTCAATTTCGATGCTATTTCTGCAACTTGTTTGTATTTCTCTTCGTATTTCTTGCCCAATGATTCTGCCTGTAGCATGCCACCAAATGAGGGCTAATTCTCTTAACATCTTAAACTTACATAAGATATTCAGAAGAAAAATGTATACCTCACGCTTATCTGCAGATGCCCTTTCTGTAATCTCATTTAGGCGGTTATCACATCTGCTTTTATACAGGACCTGAAATACAAATAACCATAAGAGAGGGGTGGAAAAGTGAGTGAATGCACCACCTAATGTAGTTTATCACTGGCCAAATGTTCAAGACTTCAAGCACATAAGATCCGTTTTTCTTTAGTCAGATTCATTATATATAAACACCTACCTTTCTCATTTAAAAAGAATCTAAAAAGATAATAAATCCTTTTATGCTTTTATTTCCATTAACTCCTTAACTTTATTTTTTTGGGATATAAACTCCTTAACTTTACCTACTTAAATCCTCACTCTTTTCACTGACTGCACGATTCCAGTTAGATTCTTGATGAGGGAAAAAACTTCCCTTCTGCAAAATATTAAGCCTTCCTAAGCAGAAGTCAATTCCCAGGGATCAAACTGAAGCCTAACTAGAACCACAATCCTACCATCATGTCATCATAGGATGATTTCTAAATCCATCTATGTCAGTTATCATCAGAACAAGGTAAAAATTGAATTCATAGACAGCCATGAGTCAACAAAAATGTGGTCATCTGCAATAGAAAAATATATAAATGCAACAAATAGCAATTATTGACCCATTTCACATTATTTGTCATAGTAAACCAGCCCTTCGTGTCAAACTACGCAGTTCTGGTACACTAAAATATTTGCACCTGCCTATTTTATGCTTATAATAAGATAGGATACTCAATAAATTTATTTAGCTCATAAACTTAAACTAACTGGACTCCGTTAATGTGAACACAAGTTTACTTTCAGGCAAGCTACCAGCCGCATGGCCTAGTATGCCTTGATATAATTCACCTCAATCATATTAAATCTATGCAAGCAGCATCAGTACAAGACAAGATAAAATGGAAACAATATAAGAATTACTTACCAATTCCTGCATTTTGTTGCGGTACAACTCAATCTTCTCTTTTGAATCCAATATCATATTCTGCACTTCTTCAGCCTACAAAATTAAAGAGAACTTTCTTTCTTTATAATGTCTCAATGAGCAAGTAGCTTGTTTTGTAAAAGTCCGCTTTACAGTTTTGCATGTTATAGTATTGCAGACCAAGTCTCTTGGAAAGTGAGATTAAACTTTTAAATCATTTAGTTATTTACT